TCCTGGGTTTCTGTGTCTCCGGCGCCTAAACCACAGAGTTCTGACACTGGGATTCTGGGGGAGTGTGCTGTCCTTATTACCTATGGGTCACCACACTTTATGTAACTGATTCAAATTGTCTATGATTCTACCAGACGAGCTGAAGTTTATTTTTGTATCATTTATAAAGAAGAGTTTTGCAATAAATTAGTAATTAGGGAAGGGCATATGGGCATGTTAAAGTTCTTTTTACCCTAGAAACTAACAATGTAAAGCATGTACATATAATCATAAAAAGTAAATAATCTGAGCATAATATTTTCTAGTGGTTTTGCATGCATTATAACCAATGTTTATGTTCATTCTTATAGTCACAGTTAATTAGGTAACTTATGGGAAATTTTTATGAGCTTTTTCTTTATGGCATGATCTAATATATACTTACGGAGTTATGCATTGTTTTGTACAGTAGATGACTTCCTGAAAAATTATCTGTAAACTAAAAATTTTTAATCATTTTTTAAATCACAGGGGTTTTCTGTAAAAGAGCTGCAGTGAATCCTTTTCAAATTGAAGAATCCGTTTGAAATATGAAGAGTCAGCTTCTGAGCTGACTATTTAACCTGCTCATTTAGGTTTCGTTCTATTCGTTTGCTCGAAGAAGAATCCATCTACATTTAATAGAGTAATAAACTATGCATAATTAATATTGTTATAATTGCAATGATAAAACTAGTCTTTCTGAGTTCAATAATTGGTATTCTCCATGAGGATTTCTTTAAAAAAGAAATTTTTTTTGTTTGTTTTTTTTTGCGGTACGCGGGCCTCTCACGGTTGTGGCCTCTCCCGTTGCGGAGCACAGGCTCCGGACGCGCAGGCCCAGCGGCCATGGCCCACGGGCCCAGCCGCTCCGCGGCATGAGGGATCCTCCCGGACCGGGGCATGAACCCGCGTCCCCTGCATCAGCAGGCGGACTCCCAACCACTGCGCCACCAGGGAAGCCAAAAAAAGAAATTTTTAAACTGAACTGGTAGACAAGTTATTTTAAAAATTACAATAGCTATGACTTTTTTTAATCAAAACACTCTTCTTTCTTTTTTTTTTTTTAATTTATTATTTTTACTTTTGCCTGCCTTGGGTCTTCGTTGCTACACGCAGGCTTTCTCTAGTTGCCGCGAGCGGGCGCTACTCTTCGTTGCCGTGCATGAACTTCTCATTGCGGTGGCTTCTCGTTGCGGAGCACGGGCTCTAGACATGCAGGCTCAGTAGTTGTGGCTCGCGGACTCTAGAGCGCAGGCTCAGTAGTTGTGGCACACAGACTTAGTTGTTCTGCGGCATGTGGGATCTTCCTGGACCAGGGCTCAAACCCGTGTCCCCTGCATTGGCAGGCGGATTCTTAACCACTGCGCCACCAGGGAAGTCTCCATGAGGCTTTTCTTGACTCTTGTTCTCAGTTGTAGGCAGGAAATGGCATTCAATGGCTGAAGCATGGGCTGGTCTGAGGCAGAGGAGAGAAAAGTGATTTAACCAACTTGTAGAATGAAAAAATGTTTTGAGTATTGTATATAACACTGACTTTAATGCTTCGTCTTCAGCAATAACTCTTTCTCCACAAAATATTTATGCATAACTATATTTTAAAATAATGAATAGTTCTGATGCAAGAAAATTGCCACATCTTTGCTCAGTATTAAATTTCTGTAGGTAGTACTTTTTAATATACCAATTTTATACCAACTCTACATAAACTCTTTCAGAAAATAGAGGAAGAGGGAACACTGCCCAACTCATAACCTTTATACCAAAACTAGGTAAAGACTTTAAAAGAAAACAAAACAAAACCACAGACCAATACCCCTCATGAACACAGACATAAAAATCCTTTTAAAATATTGGCAAATTAAATCCAGTAATAGATACAAAAAGAATAATAAATGATGACCAAGTGGGATGTATCCAAGGAGAATAAAGTTGGCATAATATTCAAAAATCAATCCATGTAATTCACAGAATAAAAGAGAAAAGATGTATGGTCATTTCAGTATATGCAAACAAAAGCATTCAAAATTTTTTCAACATTCACGATTTTAAAAATTCTCAAAAAGACTTTGGGTAAAGGGAATAATATTTTTGTTTACTTAACAGAAAAGTCATCAGTTTTTCTTTATTACCTATTCTGTTAATGGGTCAAATATTGTGTACTTTTTAGAATTAATGACGCTTATTTATATATAGTTAGTAGCATGCACGCCTAAATTTTCTTCCCTGAAATTGCTTTTTATTATCATGTATTATTTATTCCCAATGGTGTTAAACAAGACCTCTTCCAGCAAAAACAGATTTCATTCAATATGAACTCAGAGAAATGAAATGAACGTCCATTTTATTTACTTTTTTTTAATTTCATTTTTTTGTCTGCGCTGTGTGGCTTGGGATTTTAGTTGCCTGACCAGGAATCGAACCCGAGCCCTAGGCAGTGAAAGCACAGAGTCCTAACCACTGGACCACCAGGGAATTCCCTGAATGTCCATTTAAAATGATATCTGCACAAAATATTGAATACTAAGCCAGTAATGAGCTATCAGTTATATAAACATAAAATGTCTTCTTGCTCGGGCTTCCCTGGTGGCGCAGTGGTTGAGAGTCTGCCTGCCGATGCAGGAGATACGGGTTCGCGCCCCGGTCCGGGAAGATCCCGCGTGCCGCAAAGCGGCTGGGCCCGTGAGCCATGGCCACTGGGACTGCGCATCCGGAGCCTGTGCTCCGCAACGGGAGAGGCCACAACAGTGAGAGGCCCGCGGGCCGCAAAAAAAAAAAAAAAAAAAAAAAAAAATGTCTTCTTGCTCTATTAATTGCAATCACTCACTAAATGAGTAAATATTTATTAAATACTATTATGTGCTAGGTGCTAAGAGTACAATGGTCTTAACCCCGCTCTCTGGAAGCCTAGTCTAGTGGCCCAGGACACAGACAAGCAAATAATTACAACGTTGAATACGTGCTATCTGGTAATAGAAATATATACAAAGAACAGTTGAAACAAGAATAAGAAATTAACCGACTCTGCTTGGAGAGACTGGGGAATTTTTAAATTTTCACAAACAAGTCAAGCAAACCAATTTACTGAGCAAAGCTTCCCTAATCGCTTAAAGAACAAAAATTAAACCTTTAATGGCTTCTCAGCATACCACTACCACTTCCCTTAGGCTACAACCACATAAAAACCTTATGAATTTTATACACAAAAAATAGATTTTCAATTTGGGCAATTAAAGCAGAAGTATTCGGGGTTTCCCTGGTGGCGCAGTGGTTGAGAGTCCGCCTGCCGATTCAGGGGACCCGGGTTCGTTTCCCGGTCCGGGAAGATCCCACATGCCGCGGAGCGGCTGGGCCCGTGAGCCACGGCCGCTGAGCCTGCGCTTCCGGAGCCTGTGCTCCGCAACGGGAGAGGCCACAACAGTGAGGGGCCCGCGTACCGAAAAAAAAAAAAAAAAAAGGCAGAAGTATTCTTTGCGAACGGCTGATAACTGATAAAATCTATGAAGTGTACCCCTACATAATCGAAATTGTCTCTGTGTTTTAGGTATTCTTAGGGCTGGGGTACTTTTTTTTTAGAATGTGTATATTTTTATGAATAAATTAACTGCAGTTGTGGAAAACTGTACAATGATATTGTAGGAGAGGGGACAGTTCAGGATAGAGAGGTTCAGTGTGTGGACTTGAAGCAGGATAGTCCTGGATTCAAATTCTGACCCTGGGTCAATACTTATGTAGTAGTAGTGAGCAAATTAATTAGTTTATCCTATTTCAGTTTCCTCTTCTGTAAAATGGGAGTAGTTACAATTACCTTTTAGAGTTATTGTGAAGGTTAAATAAAGTAACGCATGAACACTTCTGAGACAGTGCCTGGCACATAGCAAGTAGTCCTGGGTTGGTGGCTGCTATAATCATTGTCACCATTATCATTGCCATCATGGTGAAGATGATGTTCTTTGTTTTACTTCTGTTAGTATTATAGTATTTTGGGAACAGAAATAATTAATTTTCTTCTTCCAGACACCTCCAAAAGATGGGTTTGTGATCGCTGATGTTCAACCAGTTACAAGCAGTTCTCCAGAGGAAAAGCCGTCCCCTTCATCAGCTTTCCGGTCCTCTTCCTCTTTGAGAAAGAAGAACCACCCAGGGGAGAAAGAACTCCCACCCTGGCGATCCTCTGACAAACATCCAACTGATATCATTCGCTTCAATTACCTGGACAACTGTGACCCCATTGAGCAAAGCTGGCAAGGGTGAGAGTCATGCCCTTCTCTCCACTTCTTTTGCTTTTAGAAACGACCTACTGGTACTTCAGTCTATGAAAAGATGAAAACAGAACTTACTGTGGAATACAAATGCTTTTCACTACGTAGTAGCAAAAAGTATTTGAAAAGTAAATGAACCATTATTGGTAAATTTGTCCGGTTCTTTAGGATTTGTTTGCATTTTGTAGCTGTAATGCTTTCCTTACAGCTTCTTTTAATATTTTAATACCTCAGATTCCAATCCAGTACCATAAGGTTCATTCTAGTCTTTTCCTTTTCCTTTTCCACAGTTTTATCTCCCTTCTGTGACAGAGGGAGGGATATGCAAATATGTGCATCTCCATATACATATCTCCATATATACATATATAATTTTGATTATATATTATATGTACCTATATAATTTTATATAAAATGTATTATATATAGTACATACACAGAGTATATATTTACTTAACAAATTCTGAAAGTAATTTCAGAATTGCTAACTATATCATTATCGAAACAAATCTACTAACTAGAATTCAATATTTGTTTCTGGTTCTTTTTGCCTTTAGCCTGGGTATATACTCATACTACTGTGTTCAAAAGTCATGTGCGTTCTTTTCTTTAAATATCCCTTTCCCCATGTGAGTATGTTATGTGATTCTAGAGTTAAAACTATGTAAAACTATACAAAAAGTTTACAGAAGGTGGACTCAGAGAATCACCCGCTCCATCTCCTCCGCTCTACTGCACACTCATCTTTTCCACCACATTCCCACTTACAAATCTCATGCGTTTCTGGTTTATCCTCCCAGTGTTGCTTTTTGCACAACGTTGCAAACTATGCCGTTTTTCAACTCTCTGATCGGCAGAAACTTTAAAGTTTGGCAATATATTCTGTTGGTGAGGCTGTGGGTAAGCAGGCACCCTCATACACTGCTGGTGGGAATATACATCGACGCAAACCTTGTGGAGAAAAATTGTACGGCATCCAGCAAAAAATATCTGTATTTATTTTGACCCAGCAATCCCACTTCTAGGAATCAACCTTGAAAATACCAAAAGTACGTCAGCACAAGGATATTTATTGCAGTATTGTTTATGATTTTGAAATATTGGAAATAACTTAAGTGCCCATAAATAGGAGAGTGTTTGTTGAATAAACTATGTATGGTCCATTCACACAATGGAGTATTAGGCAACTGTAAAAATGAATGAGGAAGATCTCTATGAATGTGTAAGGAGTGATTTCCAGGGTACATAGTTAAGTGAGAAAAGCAAATTGCAAAAGAGTGTCTCTAGTATCCTACACATAATGTAGAAAGAAAAGAGAGTAAGAAAATATACATCTGTATGTACATATGTATCTGTTCATTTGTTAACACACACACACACACACACACACGCACGCACACAGGATAAACAAGAAATTAAGGAAACAAAATTTGAAAATGTTTTAATACATTTTTCATAGTTTTAGGTTCTATTTCCACAGATTAACATCAAGGCAGCATAAGATAGTGACAAGGTACAGGCTCAGGGGCCATACTGCATGGGTTCAAATCCAGACTCCCACACTTCTAGCTGTGTGACCCTGGGGAGTCCCTTAACCTCTCTGTGCCTGTTTCCACCTCTGTAAAATGGCAATAGTAGTAATACCCAAGTCATAGGATCACTGTGAGGATTAATATATGTAGCATGCTTATAATAGTGCCTGACACATAGTAAGTAAGCATTTTTTTAGTAGGATGGCTTCTAAAAGGATATTATTTGGCTAAAAAAGGAAAGGGTAATCCCAGAAGGCTTGATGACTTAGGGACATTCAAATTACTTTGGGGTCCTTTGGAGGTGAGATGAGAGTGGTATCCCTAATTAAGCAACAATTGAGCTCTTTGAGAGCACAGACTATGCCTTATTCATCTTTGTTACCACTGACTATCATTGCAATTCTCATTAAATGGTGGATTTCAAAGGAAGTGTAGCTTTTGATTCATGAACTTCACATTCATCTAGTTGTATCAGAAAAAGTCTAAATAGTTTGCTGATAATTTAGAAAGTTCGAGGGAGGTGGCGGGGAGACAAGGTATAAAATAGAGTTTGAAAGAAATACTACTGTTTACATTTAAATGGGTGGAGGAGAAAGATACATATATACACATTCATATTTTTATATACATACAATATCTCTGGAATAAACACAAGAAACTGATACTACCATTTGCCTTCAAGGAGAACGGTAAGTTGGAGACAAGGATGGATAGGAAAGTTTCACTGTATATCCTTCTGAACTCTTGAATTTGGAACCACTGTGAATGTATTAACTGTGTATTGGTCAGTGTATCCCTGAAGATAGTGTGTAAGTTTGTATGTGACCCTTAGGCTGGACTAGGTTGGTAAATTAGAGAGAGGCAAATTTAGTTACCTAGGTTTATGGATGGTACATTAACCTGAGAAAAACCAATAGTCTCCTGAGTTTTCTGTGAGACTCAAATACTATTTCTGAAAGGCAATAATTACATTAAATATACTTAACACTCCAATTAAAAGGCAGAGATTATCAGAATGGGTAAAAAAGGCAAAAACCAACTATATGCTTTTTTACAAGAGCTACACCTTAAATACTAAGGCACAGTTAGGCTTACAAATAAAGTGGTAGAAAAAGATGTACCATACAAAGAGGAAGCATAAGAAGGCTAGAATGACCATTAATATCAGTTAAAATAGACATAAAGACAGAGTATTCCCAAACAAAAAGAGGGACATTTCATAATGATACAGGGATCTATAAACTAAACAGAAAGACATAACTGTTGCAATGCATATGTACATAATTACAAAGCCTAAAACTACAGAAAGGGGCTTCCCTGGTGGTGCAGTGGTTGGGAGTCCACCTGCCGATGCAGGGGATGCAGGTTCATGTCCTGGTCCGGGAAGATCGCACGTGCTGCGGAGCGGCTGGGCCCGTGAGCCATGGCCGCTGAGCCTGCGCGTCCAGAGCCTGTGCTCTGCAACGGGAGATGCCACAGCAGTGAGAGGCCCACGTACTGCAAAAAAAAAAAAAAAAAAAAGTACAGAAAGCAAAAACTGAAAGATTTTAAAAGATAAACATACAATTCCACAAACATTTTTTTTCAAGTGCATGTGCTACATTCACCAAAATAGAGCAGATGCTTAAACTCTTCCAAGAGTCAGTGCCATAGGGGGATAAAAGAGGCAGGGGAAAATGTTCTAGACATAAGAGACATAACAAACCAAGGCAATTGGAATCTAGGTGGGTTCTGGTTCAAAAAAGAAAGACTATAATGGGCACTCGGGATAATTGCAGAAAGTTAATATGGACCATATATTAAAATGACATTAAAGAATTACTGCTCATTTTCTAAGGTATGATGGCACTAGTGTGGTTAGGTAGGCAAATATCTTTATCTTAGGAGATGAGTGAAGTATTTAGGGATGAAGTGTCTGCAATTTACATTTTTATGGCCCAGGGGAGGGGAAAATATATATACACATACACAGAGATGAGGCAAAAATAGCAAAATGTTATCAGTTGTTGAATCTAGTTGGAGAGTATATGGGTAATCACTTTACTGTTCTTTCAACTATTCTGTATGTTTGAAATTTCTTAATTAAAAGCTGGTGGAGGGCTTCCCTGGTGGCGCAGTGGTTGAGAGTCCGCCTGCCGATGCAGGGGACACGGGTTCATGCCCCGGTCCGGGAAGATCCCACATGCCGCGGAGCGGCTGAGCCCATGAGCCATGGCCGCTGAGCCTGTGCGTCTGGAGCCTGTGCTCCACAATGGGAGAGGCCACAGCAGTGAGAGGCCTGCGTATCACAAAAAAAAAGAAAAAAGAAAAAAGAAAAAAAAAGAAAATGAAAAAAAAAAAAAAAAAAAAAAAGCTGGTGGAAATTTTTGAAAATTAAGTATCAGGAAATATTTGGGCAAAGCTGGCCTTTTTTTGTTTTGTTTTGTGTTTTGGCCGCGCAGCTTGAGGGCTCTTAGTTCTCTGAGCAGGGATTGAACCCGGGCCCCCTGCAATGGAGGTATGGAGTCTTAACCACTGGACCTCCAGGGAAGCCCCAATAAAACTTTTTATAATGAAAATTCAAATATATGCAAAAGTAAAGAGAATAGAATCTCTTATAACCACAATCCAGCATTAACAGTTTTCAACACATGACCTGTCTGGTTTCATTCATTCCTCACCCACTCTGCTGTTCCCCCTGGTTACTTTGGAGACAAATCCAAATGCCATATTATTTCATTCATACATATTTCAAGGCCTCTCCTTAAAAGATAGACTCTGTCTAAAAATCATAAGATGATACCATATCACTTCTAAGTCAGTGAATGATGCCTTAATACAATCAGTCAAGAATCAAGTCGGTTTTCAGGTTTCCTTGAATGTCTCATAAGGGTTTGATATTTTTAAACAGTTGATTTGTTTAATCAGGTCCCAAATAAGGTCTACATATTACATTTGGTCCACGTGTCACTTAAGTTTTTTGGGTTTTTTTGATCCATAGGTTTCTTCTCTGCCCTCCTTATTTTCCCCTTGCAATTTGTTTGTTATAGAAATCAGGTGATTTATCCTACAGACCTTCTCACCTTCTGGTTTTTGGGGACTGTACTCCCAGCATGTTCCTCTGTCCTCTGTACAAGTACCAGTCTTCAGATCTGGAGGCCTGAGTATATAATGCTCGGGTACTTCCATCACGAGGCACATGGTTTCTGTTTGTCTCTCTTTTTGTGATGTTACTAGCCATTGATGATCATTACCTTGGTCCATTATTTTAGGCAAACTTTTTCCAGAAAGGGCTGAACAGCAAATACATTAGGCTTTGCAGGGCATATCTCTGTCATAACTTCTCAACTCCAACACTGCAGCCTGAAAATCGCCATTGACCATATGTAAGAAGTAAGCATGACTGTGTTTCAGTAAAACTTTATTTACAAAAACAGGCATGAGTCTGCATTGGCCTCTGGGCTGTAGTTTGTGGATCCCTACTTTGTCCTATTATATACAATACTTTTAGAAAGCAAATATTAGTATTAATACAAACAACAGGATTACTAAAAACAGTTTAAGATTTCTTTGCCTGTGTTTTTGTCCTTAGGATATATTCTACTAAGACTATTCAGACAAATTACTATGTTAAAGTCCCACAAAGTAATTCCTTTATGTGGGGTAATGCCACCAACTGGAGAGATAAGATCATTTGTTTCATTTTGTTTTTAGATTTTTGGGAATTTTCTTCCTTCATTTTATTTTATAATTTTGATATGGTTCCAAAGTCAGATACACAAAACAAAGTGTATTTGGAGAAGTCTAGCTTCTGTTCCGACCCCTCCATACTGTTCACTGTTCCTGACTAGACCACAAAGGAATCCTGCTGATAGGTAACTATTTTTCAAAATGTCATGGTGCAGTCCTTCCATTTAAAATATATAAACACACACACACACACACACACACACACACACACACACACACACTCCTTTCTGAAAGAAATGGTGTCACACAATACATACCACTTTATCCCCCTTTCTTTTTTCATGTAACAATATATCCTGGAGATCACTCCACAGTTATATAAAGAAATATTCTGCCTTCCTTTTTACAATTCACAGTCCTCCATTGTGTGGATGTGTCAGAGTTTATTGTACCCATTCTCTATTGATAGATATTTGGCTTGTTTCCAGTTGAGTGAAGACAATCTTTTAAACCACAGGTACAACAAAATCAAATGGACAAACAGCTATGCCAACCACCAAAGCTTTAAAATGATATTTATAATTTTTCCAATGCTTTCCAATTTACAGAAGAAGGAAAAGACACGAAATGACCCCAGATTTCAACCGACAGTCACGTGATAAGAAAAATAAATCACAGGACAGATATAAACTAGGAAAAGCACAGTCACTGGTAAGTATTTCTTACAAAAGATTCCCCAACATAATGTTAATGATAATTGCTGGATCTCTAATCCTATTCGCAAGATTGAATTTGGTGTTTTTGTTTGTTTTAATTTTTAAAAAATTTTATTTATTGATTTAATTTATTTATTTGGCTGTGTCAGGTGTAGGTTGCATCACGAAGGGTCTTTTTGCGGCCTACAGGATCTTTCGTTGCAGCGTGTGGGCTCAGAAGTTGCTGCGTGCAGGCTTAGTTGCCCTGGGGCATGTGGGATCTTAGCTCCCCAACCAGGGATCGAACCTGCGTCCCAGGCATTGGAAGGCGGATTCTTAACCACTGGATCACCAGGGAAGTCCCTGAATTTTGTTTTTTTAATCAGAATCATCAAGTGGTGGTTTAAATCCTGGTCTCTGACACTGACTGACTAGCTGTGTGACCTTGAAGATGCCCTTTATTTTATCTCTCTGAGCCTCTGTTTTCCCACTCGTTTAAAAAGAAAAAAGAAAAAAGCTTGGATGAACTGATGTGTATGAATCTGCTTTGAAAACTGTACAGTATAAAGGGAGCATTATTCTCATTGGTTCTTTCTTCTTCTGTGAGTCCTTTGGGGTGGGGGGAGGAGAGCCTATAGAAATTTCTCTATAGAAATTACTTATCTGTAGAGTGAAGGTTCCACTAATCTAAGAAAAAGGCATGATTTCCATAGCTTTCCTGCCACCAATGGACCATGATTATTAAAGTGCATTTCAAATAACTTCAGAAAAAATGAATTAAGAATTTTCTT